TGCATAGTTAATTCAATGAGTAAAATTTTCAGTTCCATTGCGAAAGTTCACATTTTTACACACCATCGGATGTACATGTTAATTCTGAATTATTGATTTCGATGTGAAGATTTCCAATACCGCATTCAAAAGTCCCAATCACAACACGAATAATATGAATAACTCACTCATCGTCAGGACGCTGGTAGAGAGGCGACACGTGTCCCGTCTTGCCGTCCCTGTGCGTGTGGAAGTCAATCGTGAGGACGTTGAGGAAGTCCAAGTTGCGGTTGAGGCTCGGCGCGTCGTAGGCTCGGGCGATGATGCCTCTCGCCGCCGCTACCGTCGCTGTCAGCAGAAGACGTGGCGACTCGCGGTCGTAGGCTGCGCGAAGCTCCTGGAGATGAAATGCAAAGGTTTATTAAAGAAGGTCCGATATTTTATTAGCTAATAACAGGAATATAAGTTGTCGCTGGTTCATGAGAATGAAATTTTATCAGTCAAGAGGTCGATAAAACTTTAGGTTATAATCAATGGATTTTGATGAATAATGCAGACTATACAATAATGCCGGAATAGTGGACACGCGTTGTTTTCTCAAAGAATAATTATTTCTGTGTTGAGGGTATTTGAACTTACAGAAACAAGTGCGGAAAATCCACGTTTGTCATCCGGAAAACCAGCGCTGCATCTTGTTTGCGGACACGTTGGGTAGAGCCAGTGCAGATCAAGGCCGTCGAAACCAAACGCCTTTAACATCCGGACGCTGAACTGCGTGAAGCTGGAAATGAAAAACCACACTCGATTGAACTTTCAAGTTTAGTAAAGAGGTGTGCTTGTAACTGTACGAAACTGAGAAAATAAAGCTATGTTCCTATTGCTTATTATGTAAAATGAAGGAGTAGTTAATAAAGACAAATAAATCGTTGTGGAATAAATAAGACTACTGTTTAAAGATGACTCACTGTGAAAATTGGTCGTTCATTGCCAAACTTCGCTCTCAATATATCGCTTAACGTAAACCTAATAAAAACTGTTAAATTAATAAGGGAATACAACGTTTCGTTGATCACGAAAACACGATGAACATGCATGCACCGTGGCGATTTGCTATCTAACGCAAATTATTGACCATGCGAACAGCAAACTTACTTTTGCCGGGCTCGCGGGTCCGCTACCAGCTTGGAATATTTGTCCGTGCCAGAGTCGACCCATCCGCCCACGCTGATCAGGACCTTCACGCTGGGCTGCCGCTGCTTCAGGGCTATCACGCGCTTGTAGAAATCTGAAAATATTTATCAAAATGAGATCAGAAAAAGAATGCTATCATATTTTTAAAGTGGTAAAATTCTTTCTGTAAGTATTTGATTACAATAACGTTACTGACATTCATGAAAACACTCAGAGAGCGATGTCGATCTGCAATTACAGAAATTTTAAGAAAACAAAATCTCGAAAATCCGTTAAGAGAATAGTGAGAAAAAGTCAGTAATCGCACCAACATATTTTCTTTTTTGCATCAAAGCTACAATTTTTGAATGCATGATTGATTACCAGCTTACGGTAGAACAAGCGAAACACTTTGTATAGTTATTAGTTTGCATCAGTTTGGAAAAGTCAATGAATTGTGCTAACCTCTACTGATATCGACAGCGATGTCGTAGGGCTGAAGTAGCAGGGTTGAAGCGTCGATGGTAGCGAAGGAATATACGATGTGACTGCAGAGACTGGGGTCTATGTTCTCTGGGACGAATACGCCCTCAGCTGGCCGGTTCAGAGCCCAGTTCGGGAAAAAGCAAACCACTCGATGTGACTCTGCAATTTTACGATGAACAAGTTATAATTTTGCGGGAATCAAATATATATAAATAATTAATTACTTAGCTTTAAGCGGATCTCGCAAAAAATGAGCCTCAGAAAAGCAAATTTTGTATTAAATTCAACCAATATACTAATACAGCGATGTTTATACGTGCGTATACACTCAACAAAATTGCACGTAGAACTGGGAACAAATTTAGTTTAAATCGCCTATTTTGGTTACACGATGTCAAATCAAGCGAAAGAAGTAAATACGAAACTTTAATTTGATCTACTGGCTTAAATGATTGTTTAAAGAAAAGAAAATAACAGATTCAAGTGAATGAAGCACGCACCTTGAATGCAACTCGTGAAAAAAACTTTTGATTTACTTTCGAAACGCCGTACAGTCAGGAGTAATTTTCGATTGAAATTCAATTTTCCCTTGAGATTAATTTAATAACATGAACTGATTAACATAATAAAAGCAGTGGAACGCAATTTATTGCAGTAAGTATAACTTCATTTCTTAATAAGCCTTACCTTGCGTCTGTCTGAAGACAGGCTTTCGAAGATTTAATGTCGAGTTATCATGTACCAGGGCTTGCACCATCTCGTGGTTATTGCACGTAGCCTCTGGAGGCTCCACGCACATACCTGCTCATGAGGTACAATATTTATTTTATCTGACCCACAATTAGTGTCTAAATATTCTGCTTTCGATGGGACAATGACGCTGACATGTAATATGAAGTCAAATTTCCATCTGGAATACGATGTTTATTATAATTTCTTAAAACACTTCAATTGTATTTTATTAACATATTGCTAGTAGAATTTATTCTTAAAGCCAGCATTATCAACTACATGTGACTTCACAATAGTAAAATACACAGAAATTATCATAAAAATATCTAGATATATCTTCAGGATGTGACGCGATGGATCAACTGATCCTATGTTCCAGGAAAATGCTTTCCAAGCGACATGTAGTGAAATCGCCTATAGTTAATCATGTTGGTTTATGAGCAAATTCCACTAGCACTGGAATAATATAATTAATAGTCTGTTCAAAAATGTAAATAAACTAGCATTTAAGATGAAAATTTAACATCATGTTTCAAGTTCAGCCCAATTAAAACTTATAAGAAAGGTAGAAAATTTTTCTCATGTAAACAGATTTTGTGTTACCAATCACCATAAAGATTAGCTCACTCCAGATAAATAACAAATATGCACAAATAACTAATGTAAAACCAGTGCAAAGAGCTATCGCGACCAATTACCTCGCAAGGAGTCGAAGTTCATGCCGAGGGGACACGAGAAGTGCGTGGCGATGCCAGAGCGACACCACGTGTACATGGTGCAGTCACTGGGGTTGTTGTACAGGCCGTCCTCCGCGCAGTCCCGCCTACCTGATAAATAACGACATATTAAGCTTTCTAGAAGTGACGTCTTCAATTGAAGTTTACCATAAGTAAACTTCAATAGAAGTTTCCTCATACTTTACTTTTGCAATGGAAGTTTACTATAAATTGAAATCAGCACAACAGTATCTTGCGTAATTTTAATTATAAGTGTGTCATAAATTGAAAATTAAATGTTAGATCTGAATTATAAATAGTTATTAGAACATTCATGAGAGTTCCTGAGAGCACAGACGAACATAAATAATGCGTTTTTGGTAGCATATTTATATTTTAAATAAGGCGTTTCGGCAAAATTTCCACATAGAAAAAAAAATCGAATGATTAAGAGTAAGTGGATAAAATTAAAAATGTGGCTGTAAATGTAATGTGAATGCGACTACTCTGATACTATTAATTTCTTGGACAAATCTGCTTACTGTGACTCACTCGAGCCAGCTTTATCCTTCCATGCTTGATTAATTTAAATTAAAATTATAAATTGCAGTTCGGAAGATAACAAACATAAGTACGCTTTAGTATGCTAGTATTACATTTTTATTATGAAAAAATCGGAAACCGTAAATGCATCAAAAAGCTAAATTTAAAGTGCATCTCACTCACTGACGGGCGAGTAGCCGGGGCCACACGTGACGTGCTCGGGTCTGTTACAGATACGGCGGCGCAGGTCAAAGAGAAGACCCGTCGGACACACAAACTTGGTAGTTTCGAACTTCCTGTTGCAGATGTAATAAGTGTTGCACTCTTGTGACAGCCGATGCACGCCGGGCCCTGTGAAACAAATGGCACGATTTCGTTCACGAATTACATCTCCATAGTTATGAAGACGAATTGTTCTTCATTTGCTTCAAACCGCGAGATGTTTTACCTACTGCAAAAGATTTTCATTGCAAGACTCAAATCTATAAGAACATGCGTCAAGGAAATTCAAAGATTTGTAACAATATCTTACCAGGACACTTGAAATCACTAGCTAATGGAGCAGTGGTGGAATTTTGAGATCCGTCATTGACGCGTTTGTTCGCGCTGCCTGAATCCTCTTCATCTGGAGATGACTCGGCTGATGAAGGTTTGGCTGGGTTAGTTGCTCTTTCAAGAAGGCATCAATATTGCAGTGAAATAAATCCAGTAAGTTTGAGTGAGGTCAATTTAAAAGAACAAAATTAGAACAATCCGCTGGAACCCAAACGAACCCAACAGCCCGCCAAAAAACATTCCAGTGTAAAGTTCCAGAGAACCTGAACTGGAGTTCGCCATAGTAAAGATTTTTGTTGTGTGTCCTACTACTTTTCATACTATCACAAATGTTGGTGGAATTTCAATTAACTCAAGATTGTAAATTGAAAGTTTGATTTGAAGTAATTTTTGCCACTTTGACGGTAGCTACTTTAGAAACTTTTGAGATTCGGGCTGCAAAGAACCATAATTTTGCGGGAGTTTAGGAATTTGGATGAAGAATTTGGCCAATTGTGATCGTTGGAAGAAAATTGGATTTCTGAAAAGAATCATGCAAGATTTTACGCCTCATAGATTCACCATACACTAGTTAAAAACACTAGTATTAATCGATGAAGCCATTAATATTCCCACTGAATTAAAAAAATACAAATTCAGCGCACAAAAAGAAACAATTAAATATTTGCTCAAAGAGAAGGAAAAGAATTTATACAATAGGTGATCAAAAAACAGAAGCATGTCTAAGCTAACTAGTATCCCAATAACAAAGAACGTCACTTTACATTACGATGACGTTTCTAAAGGCATTACATTACGGTGAAGTTTTAAGGACATTACTCTCTGCGGGAGAACTGGTCGCAGGCGCGGATTTAGGAGGTTCAGGCTCAGGTTCCGGACTCGGCTCTGGTTCGGGTTCAGGCACCGAAGAAGAAGTGACGTCATCTATAGGAGGACTGCCATCGGCTAAGCGGATGCGAATGGCTGATAGCAATGGCCATCTTTTACCACACATGCCGAGGTAATCGTCCAAGTCTATTGCCCACACCATGGCACCTCCGTAGCCGCCATTCCGCACCATATCCATCTGATGGTGGGAAACATTAATAACGAATTAATGAGTTTTCAAATCAAAAATTTATAATCACAACCTGCCACTATTTTTATGATGATCTGAACACACGTATATGTTTCATTTTTTATTGCATATAAAATTAGAATATTCTCGGTTAAACTCTTATATGCAGTTGAACAAATGAACAAATATTTAGGATTCACCTCTAACCCATTCTTACATGATTTTTCTATATCCTATTTCCACATATCTTCATCAAATACTCTGACTTGACCACCTTGAGGTTAACGTATTCGACGTCCTCGTAGCCGACCCACTGATCTTTCTTGACCATGTACGGGCCACCGGCGCCGTCCCTCTGTCTCGTCCAGCCGCCGTTGCGCTGCTCTTGGCACACCTCGTAGTAGGCGTAGAGACCGCGATCCCTGGTGTAGCGGCCCTCTGTGCCACCAGAAGTTGCCTGGCCACGCAAGAGATGTGAATTAAATTGAGATAGGGAAGGGACCTTCAATTACTTATCTAAGACCAGGCCTGTATTTCAAATAAAGAATTAAAAAGAGTAAAACTCCAGCAAGTATATTCTACCGACATTGGATTTCTCAAGAACAATAGTCGCTGAAATTCATCAGTCACTGAATTGATTTCCCTATATCAACAAAATGTTACAATCTAACCTGAAATAAATCAGTAAACGGGCTCCTATGTCAACAATTAGGTCTCCTCCTCCTTAACACACTCACCTTGGCTCCCGGCTTGTTGTCGGAGGGATCACTGAGGGTGAAAGTGCGAGCGTAGAATGGCACGCCCAAGACAAGTTTATGTTTGGGTGCCCCTTTATCGGCCCAGTAACTGAGCCCATCCAAGACATTGAGGGATTTATAAGCCCAGGAGTCCGAGTCTCTGGTCTTGAGAGGTGAATGATGATCAGCCATGCCGTCCCAAGGACCGCGAAGGTCGTAAGTCATGACGTTGATGAAGTCAAGGTACTGGCCTAAAGTTGGTACGTCGTAGCCTTCATTCACACGGAACCTGAACCGTAAGAGTTCATCGTTTAAGATATCATATAAAAATCGTATCAAAATCGATGAAATTCTTCCAGTGTTAATCTCGGGTTACATGTCTTCTATTTCGCGAACATTACTTTAACTCAAACTTAGATAATGCGGCAAGATTAATGATTGTTTGGCCTCTCAAAAAGAGTTCGAATATAATTTTTTTAGCTCAAAAAGTTGAGTTTTTAGCATTATTATTTAGCGCTTGTGTAATTTATTGTCTAATTGATAACAATAATGAGCTTTAATATTCGTGCAGAGTGACACAAACCCGACAATTATTACAACGCTTGTTACTATCCGCATGGCAGTAAATTCAGCTTCTCCACATGTATCAAGATTATGGCTCTTTATATTAGAGTTTATTGTTGATGAATGGTATAATTAAATACACCACATATAAAAATTAATTCATGAAACTAAATTTTGCTTTCTGTCAAATTTTAATGGATTTTTCAGGTTACGGGAAACCTCACCTGGCAGGAGAAACGGCAGCAGAGAGCACCCATCCCCTCAACATGAATTGAGCTGAAAGTTCCTTGATGAGGGCGGCGAAATTTTCTTTATCGGTGTCTCGGCCACCGCGATCACTGGCACCTGAGGTAAACCCAAAGATACAAAAAATTCAGTGCATAGCAAACTTGATATTGAATCCTAACTGAATCCAAACAACAAAGTGATTTCAACTCAAATGGCTCAAGTTAAATGTTGGTTTAAATCAAAAGATTTCATTTGTATTAAAAAATATATATAATTTATTTAAGCAGCTTCACCTACTGATAAGAATATGATCATTATAGTTCGAAAAGTAATGCTTTATTTTATGTTAACCGTCTGTGGGGAATTTAGGAGGCATGAAGTGACAGCATCTAACGCACCGGGGTATTCCCAGTCGAAATCAAGACCGTCGAAGTGATGCTCGTCCAGGAACTTGACGACACTCTTGATGAACTTCTGCCTCGTCTCTTCCGTGGACACCATGCGCGAGTACTTGCGTCCTCCCTCGTTCCAGCCTCCCAAACCGATCATCACCTTCAGCAGCGGGTTCTGGGCCTTTAGGGTCACGGCTGCCTTGTACCCTCCTGTAATTTTTTTTACCCTTATTAAAAACACGCCATTTAGAAGTATAATCGATGGAAAATTAAACGGCAGTTAGGTATCCTTTTTGTAACTTAATGAGCTTGTTAGTTGATTATAGTACAGAAGACATAACAACCGTCCCAAGTCTATCATCCAAGTCTTACTCTTCTTCTTTCCACTATCACCAGTCACCTTATTCTCACAGAATGCTTTCTTCCTTTGTAAATTTAGTGTGAATTCGTACCGGTGACGATGTCGTAGTCAGGATCGAGGGACTTGATGGTGTAGTTGGTCTCGTCAAGCCCGGCAAAGGCGTAAATGAGATGCGTGCAGGCAAAGGGGTCGATGTCAGAGACGCTGAAATCCAGCGGCTGAGGCCGATAGATGGCCCAGGATTCGTAGTAACAAACAATTTTGTATCCTGTAGGGACGTAAGACTTACGGTCGTGTTGAGCGTACTAGTGAATTCTAACAGTATGGACAATTAAGAAAGAATTTATTGAACTGAATCAAGGGTAATTGATAAAATTATCCTGAAATGGAAATATTTTTGATCGAGAACGGATTTTGCAACGATTAGTGATTTCCCAATATTTTGCAATTTACGGTCAAAGCATGAGCGACTTGAAGGCTTTAGAATCCATTTAGTCTGTGCTAAAAGAGCATTAGAGTAATAAATACAATTTACGGTTCACCTTCGTTTACTCTGGTGGTCCCGATCCTAGGATTATAGTAGGAGTACTGGGCGGGTGTAGGGATGGAGTGTCCGATGTAGCGGGAGTCGCCATGCACGATGCTCTCAGAGAGGTGGCCAAATGGCCGGGAGTTGCTCTGATCACAAAACAAGACGATTGGTAAGGGCGTTTTTTCGTTAGAAGACTACGCACACATAAATTCATACTAAGGAGAAGCTCTGATAATGAAATTGGAGGTTAATGGTTAGTTGAATTTTATTTAACTAGCCAAAAATAATGGTAATAACACCGTCTTCAGAGTTTCTCATCATAAAAGATTGCTTAACGTTAATGCATTCATAAGATTTTATGTTAATAGAAATTTGCAGCCTTGAGGGAGTTGGATTGCGTGAATAGTAGCGCAAATGAACCAATTCAGGGTGAGATTTTTATAGCAGTTTATCTAACCCGCAATCACCTCATAACATAACGCCGGAAGGCTCGTCTCATGTGTGGACAAGGAATGATATTATCTTTGAAGTCACTAAACAACGCATATTGAGCCTTAGTTTAAATAGCAGGGCTTGACACTCAACGATTATGACTTAAAATAAATACTGAATTTAGGTCGGAGATAAATATGAATACATATTAAAGATATTAATGGTAATATGTTAGCTCACGTGCACATTCATAGGGAACGCTTCAGATGGGTCATGGAGGGCTGTGAATATGGGAGGTGACTCAACCGCCAGTCTGAAGCCGGCCTGACCGTAGCTACCGTAGCCGTCGCCCTCCGTCGCCACGAGCTCCTCCTGTACACGAGAAATGTAGCTACAACGCGCCTAGCATCTTATTTCTTTTAATTCATCTTAACATGTCGAATAATGGTTTTATGAGAAAATAAGTTGTATTTGATGGTCCTGTCAATTTTAATAATTATAATTGCAATTTTTTCGGTGACCAGACATATTTTCGTCCATAAATTGCGAAAATTTACATGCTATTATTTTTACAAACTTCTACCTGTCAATTAACTGTTATAAGAATAAATTGTAATTTTGTTAATAGAAATTTTATTGGTGTCGCATCTTCAAACCTGTGAACATCACCGCAAGTTATGAAATATTCACAAAGTTATTAAATGTTCAGTCAAGCAGATACAGTATCTGCGCTATTCTAAATTTAAGCAGACGATTGCGCTCACCTATAGCGATCGAAATTAATTTTGCAAGTTTTTCCTCAATAATCTCGATATTGCTTCACAATTTCAGGATTATCACACCAAAAATTCATTGGATAATTCGGATGTAAAACTCACGTAAGGATCTCGGTCGGCCGAATACGGCTTGAGAACAGCTGGGTAAGACTCAACGTCTCCTCGCGAGAAGGCACCGAAGTCTTCATTGACCCCTCGTCTTCCTGATGGTGACGAGTTCTCGACTTGAAGTCCAGTGTAGACTTGCGCGGTCACGGGCACAGACTCCACTGCAGAGCGGGAGAACGGCACCGAGTCCGACGCGTCCGGTAGTACGGATCCCTTGAAATAAATTAATAAGAATAACTAGGCCACAGAGCTGACCCACTAGGCAACACAGTACATGATTCTGATTTTTTATTTATTTATTAGAACCCTGGACATACTTTAGAATTGAAATGTGACCACCGTCGACAGCATTTTGTGGTCTTGGTCAAATTCTGACCAGAACAAATGTATACCTGTACAATGATCCTACTTCTCAGACATTTATTCAAAGCTCAATGGATTTTGACAGATTATTCCCTATTCACATTATCGTCGTAAGAATACACACCAATAAAGGAAATAATGTGAGAAACGGAACCAGACAAATCTTCACAAGCGCAAAAATAGCACATGTTTGCTTATAATGTCAATGCACAATGTAATTATGAGAGGGGGATCCGCAACTAATAAAATTCGGCAAACTCACTCTGAAGTTAGTGTAGGTTTGCACTTGCTCATGAAGAGGGTGTGACTCTATGTGTCCTCTATCAAAACCTCTTTCTCGATTGAACTCGGTATCTTGATCTGTAGTTTTGAAGAAGGAAGCGAATACGTCAGGGATTTGATGGTGCCCATAGTGATTAGGTTGCGAGTTGAACTGTGGGGGCGAACGGTGATCCGCAAAATAAGGTTGAGGTTGAACTTCGGGATATGTTTGTTGAAATTGATGTGCAGGATTATGATGAGAAGGTCTGTATTGCGATTTAAACTGATCGACGAAATTGTTACTTTGAGGTTGAGGAATGAAGTTTGGATGGTAAACAAGTGGTTGCTGGTTTGGTGCATGGAAAAAGAATGGTTGTTGTGAATGCTGGTAGTCTGATGGTGGACCTTGATCTACTAGGCGCTGGTTAGGATCCAAGTTAGATTGCGATTGCTGGTAACGCACAGGCGTCTGTCCTCGTTGGTAGATTTCAGTTTCAAATGGATTTATTCTGCACATTAGAAAAAAATTGTTTGATGCCAAAACATTTCACTAAGAGTTCATTGTCTAAGAAGCTAAAGAATTAATGCAATAAGAATCTTACAATGAATTACACGGCAAAAATACTTAAAATTAATTTTTTTGCGAAAATGAATACAAATATAGTGAAATGCCAAAATAATTTAGAGTAATGGGTTATTATTTATTTCTCTTCATTCATGACGCGCTGGCATCACTCGCCTGTATGAGAAGAGCATTTCATTATGGGGTGGGACCTTCTGCCCCCAATCTGGCCCGTAGACCTGCACGGGTCGTGGCACGAAAGCCCCAGGGACTTGCGGGTACGCCGCCCGGCCACTCTTCTCCCCGCCACCAGCGACCACCGCCGCCAACAGCGTCACCATCGTCACCACCTTCATCGTCATGCCCATCGCGCAGCCCTCCACCGATCTGGAAAGGTTTTGATAAGAATAATAATGTAATCATGAAAGATGTCATTAATAGATGATTAGGCTAATTAAACAGTATAAGAGAGGCGAACACAATAATAGAATTAGGACAACCGCGAGCGGGACTGTTCCAATAAAAATCCTGAATGCATGCAAAGAATGTGTTACCTCTTTGCTATTTATTCCGTGGGAGAACTAACATTCGGCAATAAGCAAATTACTACAATTTATTCATTAAATCATGATTGGTCTGCTTAAAGCTTGTCGACATATGTCCATTAAAAATAACAATATTAAATTGGAAATTCCGTCAGAGTCGTCTTGTATAACCAACCACACAATTTCCAGTCGGATTGTGATTTTCTCAACCACTTCTCAATCAAGACCCTAGAAATATACCTGTTTCTTTAATTTACACCTGCATTACTCACATCGACGCACCGAAGTGTCACCTGCAACCAAACTAGCAACATTCCTGCAAGATGGGGATGTGTTAGGGGTTCGTTAACCCCTCCTGATCAACGCTTTCAGGCTCAGCGAGCCGCGCTTTGAGCTGCGCCAGAAAACCGGTGTCGGTTGCGCCGCGTGGCGACCCTCACGGCCGGGGGGCGACTGCCCAAGTAGGCCGCTGAGTTCTCATTTTTAGTAGCCAACCAAAACTCAGAGGAATGAGGGAGATTTTGTCCAGATGGTAATGCAGTTGTAGCCATTTTTATGGGTTAGCCGCTTTAATCTTTGATATGTTTGTATCTTTTGTATCTGGATATCGTCATGGCTTAAGATTACTTTCAATCGTCTTTCACTTAAATATGAATTATAATCACTGTAGGTCAATCGTCCATGAAACATTGTATGATGTTCGATGCTGCCTCTCGCCGTGGCATAATGTAATGTAATTAAGGCATAGTGATGCCGAAAGTTGATCGAAATCTAAGTTTAGTTTTATAACATTTTTACTGCTTTTACCTTATTAAGACGCTTCTTTGTCGGTATTATCTATTTATCTTCAACGTCACGAATTCCGAAGATAATACGAATAACTTGAAGGTATGCACAGTTAGGGAATATACGGATACGGATAACTATTTGTACGGTTTATCAAACTCACTTATCTCTTTTTAAGTCATTTTTATAGACTAAATGAGAAAGAAAAATAACCCATTTAACATCAAAACTAATATATCAGTTTGATAGTTAATGGATCCCTGCAGGAATGTTTCAACGGAACTCATGTCGCGAAGAAGTTTTCCTAGATAACTTATCGAATAACGAAACCCATGAAAATTCATCGAATATTTTAAGTGCTGACAGTTATTTCATCAATATAAGCGTCCAAATAATACGATCTAAATATAAATTAATTCAACCGTTCTTGCGTTGCGAGAAAATTGGTCAATTCCATGGCCGCAAGTGGCACAGATAAGCTGAATCCAATTTTATTTGTTCGACCAAGCCAGGAACCGGAGTGATCCCCAGGCAATCCAATAGCCAATTATTATTCTCACAAAAAGCACAGTAAATTAATGCGGTCATCTAAAGTTACTGAGGTTTAGATAAACTAACTGAAGGCAGTTCTATCGAGTCCAGTATAATATTGGCCAGTTAAATGTCACCTGAGAGATGCTCTCACTGATATGTCGTGTTTTGCGCCGCGCTGGGTAAGGAGTGGCCCGTTAGGCGGGACATATCGAGAGCAACCTCAACTGCTAACACTTTCTTACTTCTATTTAAACAATTTATTTATAATCATCATTTCATTTGTGCTGTAAAAAAATATATATACTCGTATTTAAATGCTACGAAATTCCTCAAAAGGTTTTCGAAGCTCATTATAGACAGAAAAGAGCTTTGGAGACAAAACTGTATTGGGATTTTTCTTTTCCACGTTGATTGAAAATTTTAAGCAAAATTCAGGAAATACAAGTATATAACAAATAATCTCCCGAAATATGTAATGAACCTTCACTTCCAATTATTTGGCAGCCTTAAACTCTCTTCAAGATAAGCGCGTTTGTAAAAAAAATAATAAGTCACAATGTGACCAATTTCCTCATGTACCATACTGATACATTAATAATAAAATTAGTCTACATGTTACGCTGAATTTTTAATTAAATTCATCGAATGATTTTTCTATCTAATTTTCGTGAATGTGATTGTTTATAGTATGGATATTTTCAAAAATAAGGTTTTAAAACATCACGTTGAGAATTTTATCTTCCAATATTCACTATGACTGCCCAGTGCCCACGTGCAAGATTGTTCAGTAAATTTCGCAGGATGGTAAGTTACTGCCTCATAAGCAATGCGAGCCAAAAGCTTGCTGTGCCGACCTAAAAAGCCCAGTTTCATCAAGTTTATGGAATATGCATTCCTTGAAAATCCACAGAGACAATTTGTTATAATAACGTGTCAACCGACAATATATCCATTACTACACAATAGGCAAGAGTGACGGATGGCCTCTCCGTGCTACTGGAGCTCAGGTTAATTAAGCTTAACGCCGCACATCTCAAGCAGCCAGACCCTATCAGCACGTTTCAATTTCTACGTTTAACAATCAGCACGTTTCTTTCGATTTCTATAGCTCTTTCAGTTCACTGCTATTGAAATTCGTGCTTTCTTTTCTTTCACCCATTAGAAAGAAATACCCAGACAGTAGAATTTACGGTAAATGAATGAAAATACGCCATGAGCTGCGTGCTCTATGAATCAATGACGAAAAATTAGAATGCAATTCACATCATGCGCCGGTACATGGTTTCTCAGACCGCCTGGTGCAAGCTTTCATTATCATTGATAGTTCAAATGGAAGCATCTTGAAACCAACGAATTAAGGTTCGGAGGTACGTAAGTTAGAAAACTAACATTTGTTTTAGACTTGAAATTTTCTCGTTTTCTCTATTTCTCGTTGCAGACTTTTCACCCTTGAGTTTCACGTGAAGCTCAACCCCCTCCTTAAATCTAACGAAGTCGCCATATCACATCTCTATAAAATTGTTTTCAACTGTAATGTAATCTATAAACGCTAAATCTGCCTTGAGAAACAAACTGAAAATAGTTGTTGAACTTGCCAATATCTCAAGAACTTTTATCATCGTGAACGCTACGACAAGATGTAAAAATTGAATGGAAGGCCGGCATGCAGCAGATGGCAAGACAATGGAATAAATCAATGAAATTCCTCTCATACAAACCAGTTGCGTAATTCGGGTAGCTGGCTTCATTTTTTCTTAGGAAAATTTCCCTCTCTTTCGACCTCGGCGAGTAAGGCACACGCCTACGTGATTACAGACCACAGTGTAACTCAGGCGTGGAAGAGCTACTGCAAAACCGCCTGAAGCCGTTCTAAGTTTAATGAAAAATTACCACGACGAAAGCGCGCCGAATGGCAAAAGTGTTTAAGTGCAAATTGGGTGTAAAATTGGCTGATGAACTTTTCTTAAATTCGTGCAAGCGAAATTTCGAATGATATATGGTGACCCATCAATGCATCAATAGTTTGGCAACGAATAAGGTAATCAAATGGCATCGCTCGGTTACGAGTTGATGACGAGTAAACGTGTGATTAATGTGATTATAATTATGAAAAACATGCCGATTTATGTTAACATGTGGTTGAAGAAATGACTAACTCGGAAAAAATAAGCAGGTTAATTTTAATGTAAGGATAATGAATTTAGTATGCATAGAATGAGCAGAAATGTGAAAGTGTGGATAGGGAAAAAAGTATCATAGGGCTATAATGACCAGGTCTGATCTAGGGCTAAAATGACTAGGTCTGATGTGCCAACCGAAACACATATCATTTCAAAGAAAACGCACTAGGCGCATAATTTTTTGTAATCAGCCATTCAAAACTAACCGCAGGATTAACGAAAATCCTGAACGCACGTTTTCAAATTGACATTGAATACTATCTAGTGAGAGTCTCTCTAAACTTGAGATAAAATCTTTGTATGCTGACTTCAAGTATTGAAAACCTCGACTAGTGGCTAAGAACCCAAGTTGAAGCGTGCATATGCTAAAATCTTCTGAGCATTCGTTCATCTCTGGAAGATTAATAGTGATTAATGAGTGACGTTTCAAGAAGAGTTCCGAAAACCAAATTCATATAAGGGCCACATAGGCCGAATTCTCGTTATTTTGAAGCCCAGTTATACTTCACACGTTAAGAATATTACTAGCAGATCAATAATCGTTAACTGGGGAAAAACTTGTTTGCAACGAAGTTCATCAATCAGTTGAAACGACACAGTGTGGGGTTGGTTATGTATGTCAGCTTTCATAATTTAGCTCCTCTGAGTTTCCATGTATGATGGAGAGTCGGCAATACAGCGTCCTCATGTTAGCACAAATTCAATGGTATAATACGTTTAGTCTCCACTACAACTTAACTAAAATATTCAATGTTTAAAAACTTCAACTGCCTTATCGCAAGTGCATTAGCCGATAATAGAATAGAGTTCTTTTGACCTCAGCACGAATTGCATTAAACCTGTGTAAATCCAACCGGTTCATCTAATTATCAATCGCCGCTTAGGTGAGTTCAATTCAGGGCAATACAGTACAATTTTTAACATAGAAAAATCCAGAAATGTTCAATTGCCGATTGCAGGTGCCAAAAGAAAACAGTTCTAAGTCACATTAGGAATTATTACATAGACGGGCCACACCCTAGTGTAGCGGCGTTTCCTGTAAAATAACTTTAAAGCGGGAGATGATAGTTCTTGTAGAAATTTTATGCATGCATGTGCTGGGAGATACCAATTAAGCATGCGCGTGCGCTGTCATCAAAATCCGCGCCATTCATGATTTTCTAAATTTTAAAATCTTGTTGAGGCTGTAATTACAAGCATTGACGCAGATGACATTTTTACACTCAACCATTTCAATTTTTTCCATATTTTTCTTTATCGAAGCACAAATGTATAAGTAGGAGTTGTGATCTTCTAACGAAAATGTAGTTAATTTAAACGAAAACTTGAACTCAAAATACTA